CAGGGGGTCTGTCTCTCGGCATGGTGGAGAGGGTGGGAGACGAGGCCAGGCCATGCTAGCGGCGTGGGTAGGGTTGGTAACGGTGCACTGTCGGCGTGGGTGTGCAAGTGAGAGGTGAGGAAGTGGGGGACAGTGGGGACGAGCTCGGGAAGGAGCTGAAGAGGTGAGACGAGGTCACACAGGGTGGCCAGGCACAGGCAGTGTTTGTGGTAGTGTTTGTGGCTCTTCAGGACAGAGTCTGTCCCTGCCTGAGGCAGGTGGAGGGTGTGCGGGCGCTGCCTGCTCCTCTCCCAGGCTGCGGCGTGGAGAGGAAGGTATGGCTCGGTGTGGAGCAGGCAACCAGGGCATGCAGCACGGGGACATGGAGTGTCCTTCCCCTCATCGTCCAGTCCTTGGGCTCCTCGGCACGGCTGCCAGGTTTCAAAGCCTTTCTGGTGCTCTCAAGTCACATTTTCAAGCACTTCCCTGCACCCCCCATCACCACAAACTCCCTGCTTTGCTTTATAGACAAACTCTTCCGTTTCCAAGCAGTTGTTTGCCCCAGGACCAGGGTGGGGGATGCAGTGCTGGCACCGGCCGTGCACAGGGATGGACACACTTGCCGCCCCTCAATAGGGAGCAGACTGCTGGTGGCTGCTGGTGGCTGCTTCATGGCTCTGGTTTGCACCCTCCAAAAAAGTGAATCCAAGATCTCAGGATCCCCCACCAGACCCTGAGATGCCCATAGCTGAAGCATCTGTGGGAGTCTCCAAGGGATCCAGAGCTTGGCTCTTTTCTGCAAGCACGCTTATCGGCTGCCTGTTGCTGCAGCCTCTAAGAGGCCACAGCTGAAGGGTGTGAGCCAGAGTCCTGATGTCCCCCCCTGCTCCTCACAGAAACACTCGATGAGGCGGGCAGTTGTCTTCCTCCCCATCCACCCTCCTATCCTGCTTCTGCTTTGCTTTGTTGCTTCCCTCTGCTCTTGCCTTCCCCAGCTCTGTCTGTGCTAGATCTGCCTGCACCTAACCCCTAGCTGAGCATCTCCCAGGCACGAGCTCCTGCTCTCCTCCAGGGCTTAGCCCTGCTGCTGAGGAAGGTCCATCGCTTCTTTCTGCTCGGGTCCCCTTGGGCCTGAGGGCTGCTGAGGAGAGAGGTGTGGGTCGGTAGGAGCTGTGCTGTGCACTCTCCACCACAGGAAGAGGCTGGATGCTGTGAGGAGCTAGAGAGTCCTGGTGGGAAGGCAGGCCACGTGTCAGCGTCCCCACCAGTGGGCTGGTGTCCAGAGGAGCCCCTGCACCGGCCACAGAGGGGGCAGAGTGGGAGCTGGTTGGGGCCCAGGTGCTCCTGTCCTCTGGCCACCAATACCTCCGTAGGCCCTGTCCCGTACCGCTGTGGGCTCAGCGCTGTCTCCAAGATGCCTCTCTAGCCTCTCACTTTTGTTATGGACCTTGACTGGGGATTTATAGCTATATTTTTTGTCCTTTCTTTTCCTACAACTGTCGTGTTACTAACTGTTGACTCTATCTGGGAAACCAATCTGTCAATGTAAGTGCACTTAACCCCTGGGTGTTGTCATTAGTCGACTGGCTTTTGCTAAATAAATCTTTCTATTTCTCAAGGCTTTCTGTTGTCTTTTCCTTCTTGCTGACTCTCTCTTTCTGTACTTCTCTTGCCTTCCAGCCTGGGAGCCAGCGCCGGCGGTGGCATCCCCTGGCCTTGCACAGACCCCTTCCAGCCTAAGCATCCTCCCCTGCGGGACCCTTGCCTGCGGTGCCAGCTGCGGGCTGCCCCTGAGAGCGAGGTGCCCCGAATCTTGCTGGGGGTTAGAGGGGTTTCAGCCTTCCCACTCAGCCACTGCACAGCACAGGCTTGTCTCAGGGCTGACATGACAGCTCCAGGGTGCCGGGGGGGTTCCCGATGTCTGCAGAGCACCCCACGGAGATGCAGATATGCTTAAGCAGCGCTTTCAGGGGCTCGGGAGATTTTTGGCTGCTGGGGAAGGAAAAGTCGGGAAGAGCCTCTCTTAAAGCATGGCGGAAGTGTTGTGTAGGCAAGAGCGGCAGGCAGGGCGGGCTGCTCCTAAGACAATTTATTCCGCTGCTGGCAGGAGCGATGGAGCAGTGCCCTCCCGCGGCGGCTGCCCGGCTGAAGGGCTACGTGGGCGCCCTGGGGGCTGCAGCCTCCTGCTCCTTGTGCTCCTTCTCCCACAGCGCCTTGAGCCTGCGGTAGTACACCTTGCAGCTGTAGCCCTCCTGGGAGCTGTGCTGGATGTGGGTCTTGACCGACCACAGCGTGGGGAAGACGCGGCAGCATGACATGCACTGGTAGCCATGGTGGGGCACCGGCTGCTGCTGGGAAGCGGTGAGGATGTCCTGGATGGTGATGCTGGCTCTGCTGCTGGCTGGTCTGCCCCTCTCGGGGGGCTGGGGCTTGTCCGAGGAGCCGGAGGAGGAGCAGACGATCTCTGAGAGGTCATCTGGCTCCTCAGGCTCCTGGGTGCCGGCGGCCAGGCTGGAGGAGAGGCTGCCCAGGTGCTGCTGGGTGCCTCCTTTGGTGCACATGAAGTAGCTGTAGGGTGAGAACCAAGGCCGGTAGATGGTGCAGGTGTGGGCAGGGAGCTCGCTGCTCAGCGGGGCTGTGGGGCCGCAGGCTGTGGAAGAAAGGGTCTGCAATGAGTTGGGGGTCCCTGCAAGAGCCTGACCCCCCCCCACAGGGTTGGGAGCATTGCTGGGGGCCCTTCCTCTCTGTCTCCA